GTACACACACTCATGTACACACATCCACACACGTACACACACTCATGTACACACACTCATGTACACACACTCATGTACACACACATGCACACATACTCATGTACACACACACTCATGTACACACACACAGTCATGTACACACACGCATGCACGTGCGCTCATGTACACTGTCCTCCCACCCCACTATTGATTCTTGCTTCCCCATCTTCCTCAACTGGAGCCTCCAGTTTAATTTTGAATCCAGGAATTCTCTCTTCCGCTCCTTTGTTTCTTTGACTTGTCCGCTGGATGAGTCTTTCTTGAAGCCGGGAAGAGACTTCTTGGACGCAGAGGCCCACCGGAGTTTTCAGCTCGCTACATGTCGGTCCCAGAGGAGGGAAACATACATGGAGGAAGGGTGTCAGGGTGTCTGGCGTCGCTGCATCTGTCAGCAGTGAACGCCTGCGTCATTCAGCGGTTGAGCTTTCGTTCTCCAGGTGGTACTTCTTGTGCGCCAGCTGGACCCTTCATTGGCGAGGAGGTAGCACTGTCAGTGGCTTAGTTGGTTCAATCTCCAGTATCTGCTAGACAGAAGTGTTGAGATTTTTTTTTCATTGAAGTTGTGTGTTGAGCTGGCTCCATTCAGTGGCCAAGAAGAAGACTGGGGATGTGAACAGTCACATAGTCCCTTTTTCTCTGGATCTCTTGCTTGCTCTCTCTCTGCTTCCAGGCCACCACGAGGCAGCTTTCTCCTACTGCGCCTTTCTTCCTTAGGGCTGGCCGGCCATGCAGTGAAAACTCTGAAACTGTGAACCAAAATAAATCTTTTCTCCTTTAGGTTATTTCTATTAGGAATTTGGCCCCAGCAGTAGGTGACTAATACAATTTCCCCACTCGCCAACTGGAGTTATAAGATTTGGGGGCACAAAAAGAGGATGACTGTAAGAGATTGGCCCTCACAGGAGGTACTAGATGCACGGTGGCAGCCTCTTGCATCGTTTCATTATCAGTTGGTGGGGGGCTCCTGGTATTTGAGGTGCAGGATATGGACTTGGGGTCTGTAAATCAAATCAGCACACTGAAAGTGGACTTTGTTTTGTGCCTCACTGACACGTAAAGGGTCAGGGGTGGCTCATGCCTCTGAGTGAGCTGTGGGGCACAGTCTCCCCGACACCCTTTCTGCTCTCCCCTAAGGCCGGCCTTTGTTTCCGAAGCATAGCTCAGCTCTTGCCACTGCTCTTTCCGGGTGACCCTGTACCGCCTGTGGCTCTGACTGTTCCTTCTCCATCAGCCACACTTTCTACTGGATAAAGGAGCAATGGGAGGGGTGGCAAAATCCACTACTTCCCCAAGTGGAGTCCCATGGGGCTATTTCACCCTTCATTTCTGCCAAGCTCTGTGTACCACCTTCTCCAGCCATCCAGGGTCTTAGAGATCATTGGAACACCACAGTATTCTATCCAGGTAGGTAGTAGAGGCCAGGAGTAACTCCTAGCATGGGTGGGGTCTCTTGCTAACAGCTGAAGAAGCTGCAGGCTGGCTCCATGGCGCCCCGACCCCCTTCCCCAGCTGGCCTTCTGCATCTGCTCTGTGTTGGGCTCCCACAGAAGTGGCTATGCATAATGTCACCATGTGACTGAGCCTGGAGAGCATGGCTCAGGGAACAGGGCAGAGAAAGTGATGTGCAGCACACGTGTTTCTGTTTTCAGATAAAGACGCTCCTTCTCTCTGTGAACTATAACATGAGAGGGTTTTACCAGAAGAGGGGAGAGTAGACAGTGCCACGCTGTTGCTAGGTAACCTGAAAGAGCAAACTGCAAACCCAGTCATCGTTGACATTGGCACGCTTTTTCCCTGCAGGTCTGTCTACTCTTGAGAAGGACTGTGTGTAGCATGGGTGCGTTTGCCCATTGCTGAGGCTACGGCCTCCTTCCTTCTGCAGCTCCTTTCTCCCCATACCTCTTGCCCCCACTGGGAAAGACCCCCACACATCATGGGAGCCCTGATGTCAGCTCTTGACAGTGATATTACGAGGGAGTTACACAGATGCAAATGCGGTTTATTATGCAGAGCTACAGTATATGTCTTCGAAGGCTGGATCATTTTAAAAATTAAGTGGGCCTCCCTTTCCCAGCTGGAGCAGAGTTGACTGTCATGAACAGAAACCCCTTTATTTGGTTGAAACTTCCCTAGGAGGCTTCTTCAAAGGTGATTTCTAGGCACTGGTGACCGTCAGCATGTCTTAGCAGTACTGATAAAATCATTAGTCTGGTATGATTCTTTCTCCCTGGGCTCAATCGCTTTCTCTACAGGGACCCTGCATGTCCTAGGCTCTTGGGAACCTATCTTGCGGATCGCAGGCTGCCTCTCCTGTAACCTGTGCTGTCTATCTGTTGCAGATCTGGACACCTCGTGGACAAAGTCTCCATCCTTCCAGGACTCCGATCCATACTACCCTCAGCTGCAGACATTTATAACGGAAGCAAAGCAAAACCTTTCAACAGTGGTCCTGCAAGATGTGGACAGAGTGGAAGAAGACATTGTTTACCTCTAACTGTGTTGTCATTATTTTACCAAACAAACCTAACTCTGGCACTTTTGGGAGAGCCTTTCTTCCCCATTCCTTCTGTGTGTGACTGTGCCCAAATTGCTTTAAGAATACTATTTACTTGGCCTGTGTCTAATATTTAAATTATTGAAAACAGCCCTGTAGAATGTTTAACTTATAGTACCTACTTTCAGATTTCTGGAGGGGAATCTAACTTGAATAAGCAGGGGGTATATTAAAATTTTCTTTGACTTTAGAGTAAAATTTCATATTGCATTTTATATACAGTCACTTGGATTGGGAAATAAGTGGTTTTTAAAGTCAAGATGAAGCAATTTGGGTTTAAAGCATGATCTTCATAAGGGAAGACCTTTCACCATCACAGCAGTTGGTTATTAAGAATGGCCTTGGTGCCCAAAAAGACACAGGAGGCTATGGGGAAGGCCTTTGTTCCACCAGCCTCTCTGTGTCAGTCTCCTTGGGCTTTAAGGGTAGAGGTCTGTCACCATCACCATTCTGTTGGCGTGGACTGCTGGGCACCTGTTCTGGCCCTGTGGCCACCACCCCAGGAACAATCTGCAGGTGTTCAAGCCGGAGCCATGTGCTTTGAGACACACTGTCTTTGTCCTAATACTGGTGAGAGATCTCACGCCTGCGGTCAGCAGTATCCTTCAGCCTAGAGGCCCCTGGAGACAGTTGTGACATGAACAGTGAAACTCTGTGTAAACCTTCCCTCCCATCAGCCAACCTGTCGCTGTTACCCCCCTGGAGCACCAGCGGCCATCACCCATGCAAAGGAAGCCTTTCCTGTGTGACAGACATGCCTTCGGTGAGCTTGCTGTGGAAGGCCTTTCCACAGAGGACACCTGGCAGATGCTGCCTTTAAACCAGGAGATGTTTTCATTGTGTCCTGCAGAAATATTTGTATATGTTTTGGTCTGTGTCAATAAATATCTTTTACGTCATTATTTTACTCTGGAGTCTTAATGTTGAGAATAGGACTATGGCCAAGCACACCTGTTCCTTACACATAAATCTCTCCTCAGAAGCGAAAATAAAGGAAGGCTTTTCAGTTCATCCAGAAATTACGGCACTTACCGGGAGGTATCATGGAAAGGGAAGAGGAGCTTACTCAGATCCCAATTTTGTTTTGGCTACTTGAAGTTTTTTGTTTGTTTGTTTTGTGGAACCAGGGATCAAACTCAGAACCTTGCCTTGCCAGGCAAGCATTTATTCCACTGAGCTGTCTCCCCGGCCCCTCCGGGCTCCTACTTGAAGTTTTAAGTTATATATCTACATTGTATTTTCACTTGGACTAATGATGATGATGTATTTTAGGGAAGGGTCCGCAGGGTATTCAGGGTCTCACTACTAGATCAGACTTATAGTGATTCTCCTGCTTATTTATTTGCTTATTTATTTATTTTGGTGGAACCAGGGATTGAACTCAGGCCCTTGCACTTGCCAGGGAAGCACTTATTCTACCGAGCCATCTCCTTGTCCCTGATTCTCTTGTTTACAGCCTCCCAAGAGCTGGGATTACAGGCCTGCGCCACCACGCCCAATCTCAGTCACCATCTCAGCATGCCCTGGGGCTGGGGCCAACATGGCAGGCCCAGGGATCAAAGCCCCGGCCCCTGGGCCTGCTTGAAGGCGCTTTAATCCACTGAGCTATTTGGCCAGCTCTCACTTGGACAAATTAAATCTTAGGTTTCTAAAGAAGATTATTTGGGGAGCACTCTTGATGTCTCTGGTTATTTTTGTCATGTAGCAAAAGTTCCGTGACTAACCTCTGTCCAGAATGGGTGTAGCTTATTAAAATTCTAATAACTTTACCTCCAAGCTAAACTCCTAATTTATAAGATGCATCTCCCATTTCCTAAAGACACCTAGAAAGAAAAAAGAAATCTATGTTCTTTCTAGCCCTGCTCAAAGTCTAGTCCAGAATCCTATGTCCCTTGGATAAGAATGATACAGCTATTTTAGTCTTAAGCCTTGTTCAGATAGCTATAAATATGTTTCCTTTTCTCATGACAATGGATATGAAGTAGTGAAAATATATAAAGATATTGAAAAGCCATGGGTTATTTAAAAATAGTGGTGCTCAGTCGATTTCCAAGTCCTGCAGAAAGGGTTTTTGTGCAGTCCTCTTGGGTATATCTCAGTATTTTTAAGGTTCCTATACTCTCTTATTCCGTATGACTTTTTCACTGCATCCAACTAAATTTTAAAGCTTTCTTTTTTTTTTTTAAACATTTATTTATTTAGTGTGTGTGTGTGTGTGTGTGTGTGTGTGTGTGGCCAGCTCAGCCCACCAGGGGGCGGGCCTGCTGGCATGTGGTGCTGGGGGATTGAACTGCGGTCCCTGTGCTTTCCCAAGCTTGTTCCAAGTAGGTGCTTTAGACCACTGAGCCATCTCACCAGCCCCTAAAGCTTTCTTGAGAATTTCTTTTATCTCATTTTCATTGGGTAATAAGCAGATCCTGCTCTGATCACAGCAATTGTGTCCCCCAAAATTAATATGCTGAAGACCCAGTTGTCACCGAGAGATGATGTTAGGGGGCGGGGCTTTTGAGAGGTCATTGGATCAGGAGGGCGAGGGTGGCATTTTTATCAGTGGGTTTACTGTGCACAGAAGGCCCTGGGAGAGCTCCCTCACCCTTCTCCACATGGAGGACTGAGTAGGAAAAGCCTCCCTTTCTATGAGCCAGTAGATTGGGGCTCAACAATGCAAAATGTGCTGACACTTTTCTCTCAGAATTCCTGGCATCCAGCACTGTGAGAAGTGAGTTTCTGTTGTCCATAAATCACTTCGTTTATGGTGTTTTGTTATAGTAGCCAGAACAGGGTAAGATCTCAACTGAAACTCACTCTGTGGCTCCCACACAGATTCATTAATCTTATGAGAAGACCACTCTGTTTGCTCAATTCATAGTTAAGTTTCCCTGGAAGAGCCTACTTTTCCTGTCAAGGTAAGAATATAAAAGAAATGTATTGGCTGGCCCTACAGGCATCCCTTTAGAGGAGTCCTGAAGTGGAAAGTGTGTTTGTTCAGTGCCTTCTGGGTTGCACAAGTGTGTGTGCCACTTTCTTTTGGCTCCAAGTCCCTCTGTACTACTACACCAGGTCTGCCTGATGGCTGGAACCCTACAACCCATAGCAGAGGTCCTGCTGAGTCAGAAAAATAGAAAAGCCCTGTGGGGGAGCGTGTGTGTCAGCCTATGTGTGCGTAAGCATGTTATGTGGGGTGAAAAACGTAGCACCACGACATCATGGGATGACACAAACAGGTAAAAATGGAATATAGGTATTCTCTCCTGTACCCTTTAAACTCAAAAGTAACTCCAGCTTGTTGATGTTTGGCCCCTCTCTGTCTTTCTCAGTGAGAGGCAGAAGAGCGAGACACTTAATAAAATGGAATCTGGAGCCCGTGCTGCCCCTCACTGTCTGTACATCCTTGACATGTTACCTCACCGCTGTTTCCTCATCTATAAAAACAGAGATAATTGCCTTATGGAATTGTTAGGAAGATTAAACGATTCTAAGTGTACTTAGAATGGAGCCTGGGGCACAGTCATTGCTCCGCGTATGCTAGCTATTATTATCACATCATTTAAAAATCTATTAATAATTACTCAGCCCAATCTCAGTCCTTAGATACATGGCTCCTGCCATGCCAGAAACAGCGAAGAGGGCAGGTGAGTGGGAGGGTGTCCTAGGATGGTCGGAGATTGGAGTAAGGTTCCATGAAGTTAGCTCACAACTCCTGCATCTCACAACGCCTCCTCCTAATTCCCATGTCCCGTAACAGTCATTGACTATCTGCTAAAGGCCAACCATCTGTTAGGAGGAAATAAAGATGGACAAGGTTGCAAACGATTGGAGAACAGGAAGAGAAGATCCAGTGTGGGTGGCTCCGTGATCTGGGCAAAGCAGGTTGCTGTGGAAACACATTGGGGGGATAGATGTGAAGGGAAGTGAGTCATCCTACATCAGGAGATACCTGTGGCTTGAGGGTACATAGAAGGCCTGTGGAAAACATGTTCTCAGCAAGGAGAGGTGTGGAAAAGATGGAGAATTTCACTCTAGTAAAGTCTGGAGGTGCGCGGCAAGGGCAGGACAGATGCTGCCACTGACATGTGCACCCACCAGGGTGAGCTCCTTCCCTATGGCCTGTGAGAGCATGAGCCTGTTTCTGTGTTTCTGAAGCACTCTTACACAAGCAGTAGGGGAGCGTGGAAGTCCTCCCCCACCACTGTGGATAACTGAACAGGTTCCACATGAAGCCAGGCTCTGGAGCAGGAAGGAATATTTGCGTACATGCCCTGATGTCTCTCTCTCCTAACGCAAGCAGATGCCTCTCACCCATAACCTTTCCACACATCCTCTACCATAGAGCACTGCTGGTTCTGGTCAAAAGGCCAAGTGAATGTCTGTGTACTTGGTTCTTCTAATCACAAGAACCAATAGGAACTGAGAGTGAAGAGATCAGTTTAAGATGCCTATTAGAGCTGAGGGGCCTGGAAGAGGGCTCCAAGGTGTTGTTGTGGAGTGAACTGAGGACTTCCATGGTCATTTAAAGGATGAAATGGTAAAGGGAGGAAAAGGAGAAAGGACAGGCTCACCTTGCTCTTCTCTTTTCTTTTCTTTACTGTTGCCCCCAGTAGCTCATTTCTATTATTTTGAAGTATATGGAGAATGGAAAAGTACAAAAAGGAGGTGAGGCCTATAGAAGATTCCAGAATTATTTATAATTGATATGGAAAGTTTACAGTGTTCCTTCCCATCTGTCTCTCATGCACCAATGTCCCTTTACCAGTGTAAGAAAGGCGGTAAAAGGATGTGGGGAAGCTCACAGCCCTGGGCTCTGCTTGCAGAAACTCCATCAAAGCAGCACATTGAGCTGCAGAGCACTCACGTGCTAGGCTCTGTGGGAGAGGAGCCTCCTGCATCAGATAAGCAACTGTGCTTTGGAGCTAAGGTTGCTCATCTATGGAATGGGGATTGTGACACGGGCCGTGCCTGGCAGAGCTGTGGTGAGAGCAAGAGGAGTAAAGCCTAGGACGCGAAGTGGCATTCAGTAAAAGGACTTATGCTGGTGACCTAAGGCCTAAGACAGAGACAAAATTGGATGTTGTCCAGAAGCAAAATAACCAGGGCATTTTCCTGTGTCCTGAGAGACTTCTAAGATTGAAGCCTACCACGATGCAGCGCCCCATGCTGTGTACTGAATGAAGGGGGAAGGCATGAGCAAGAGCCCTTGGAAATCTGGAATCAAAGAGTTAGAAGTAGAGCTAGACCCCCCCGTCCACTGCATTTCTTTGCTTTTGGCTAGAAAGTTCAAAGCAGTTCCTTCAAGTTGATGACTGAACACGTTTTGGGTGCAGCCAGTTGAAGGGGGGGACCATGGTTCAATACTTCTGTAGAAGTTTTGTGGCAGAGAAACCTTAACAGGCCATGAACTGATTCCTAGTTCCCTGCCTACCAATAAAACTCTGAGAAATAGGAAGTCAGAATTCTAGCTGCTCTTCGCAGCCAAGAGTCTCAGAACAATTACCCAAGGACAGAGGGTGAGCCTGGTGAGGAGACAAGATTATCTTTTCTTTGCTAATTTAACGAGGTTCTATAGTTCAATTAGAGATCTGTTTCTTGTCCTATAAGTGCTCTCAACTCTACCTCACCGCTGAGCCCCTTTTGTTCACGAGCCTCGTGCTCACAGGCTCCCCACTTAGCTTGTCTGTCCCCAGCCAATGCAAAGATCAGTTGCCTGCAGAGATTCACAAAGTTCCAGTTCCCAGGGAAGGTTCTAGAATGTTTTCTTTTTATTCAGAGCCCAATCAACTGAGTGTCTTGATTTTATTACATAAATGAAATCTGATTTGTTTGCTAAGTAGCATTTTTACTTACCCAAGAGTTTGTCCAAGTCTTTAGCTCCCTCTGCTAGGCTGGTTTGGGGTTGTTTGGC